GGAGCCTGCTTCTCTCTCGGCCTATGTCTCTGCTTCTCTGTGTGTCTCTCATGAATAAAGAAATAAACAAATAAATAGTCTTTAAAAAAAACTTTCCCCTCAAGAATGGGGGGGGGGGGCTAGGCAATAAAGTAAATCCAAGGAAATGATCAGATTTAAAAATAAACAATTACCAAGCAAACTATAGCCTATCAACAAAGCCAAGAGCTGGTTATTTGAAAGACTAATAAAAGTGACAATCCTCTGGCAAAAACAGCGAGAAAGTTGGGGCACATGGGTGGCTCAGTTGGTTGGCCGCCAGCTCTTGATTTCGGCTCAGGGCATGATCTCAGCTCAGGTCATGATATTGGGGTCCTGGGACTGAGCCCTGCATTGGGCTTTGCACTCAGCAGGGAGTTTGCCTGAGGATTCTCTCTCTCCCCCTCTCCCTCTGCCCCTGCTCACATGCATGTGCATGCTCTCCCTCTCTCTCTCAAATAAATAAATAAATCTTTAACAAAAAATAGAAAGAGCAGACATACAAATGCTCAGTGTCAGGAATAAAAAGGGAACATAACCAGGATCCAAAGACTTTTAAAAGATCACAGGAAGATACATGAACTTTATGCCCACAAATTTGAAATCTAGATGCAATGGACAATGTCCTCCAAAAAAATGTTAACAATATAACTTCTCAAAACCAACTTCAGAAAAACAAAACAGAATATCATTTTAAAAGCCTAAATCATGACTTTTAAAAACTCTTTTTTACAAAGGAAAAATTAGGATTTTGTGGCTTCACTGGCAGGTCCCACCAAGCGTTAATAGAACAGATACTCCCCATACTGAGGGATCATCTCCTGTGGCTCGAGAGTTTCCATGAAGCCTGAAGTATCCCCAGAGCCACAAAGGAAGGCAGCACAGTAGGGCTGACTCCTCCAAACACCAGTTCCCTAGATAAATGGGAAAGGCTGGTGCTCGGGGCCAGCTATCCGATCCAGGGGATAGCACCTGAAGCAGGTGAGCCAGTAGGAAGCTGAGGTCTGGCTACCCTGTGTCCACACACCCTGCCTTTGCAAGCCCAGCAGCCTTACACAGGTGTGACGGGAGGAGGTAGGAAGCTGAGTGCGTGCATGGGCCGCAGGACTCTCCATGAGATGGAAGACACCAGGAATGCTGCTTATAAAACAACATACAAAAATAAGTTACCTGCTTATATACTAGAAAAAAAAATTTAACACAGCCAAACAATTCAATTCTTAAAAGATGCTATTTAGGAAAGCATCATGATAACATCAAGTACCTGAAAGAAATCCAACAAAAGACGGGCATCGCCTCTACAGGGAAAAAATATATAACTTTATTTAGGGAAATTAAAGAAGACCTACCTAAGAAATGAAGACATGCCAGGTTCGTGGACTGGAGCACTCAGCTTTGTAAAGACAGCAAATCTCCCCAAACTGCAATACAGGCTCAATGCAATCTCCATCAATATCCAACACATTATCTTTCTTTGAACCTGCAAATTAATTCTTCAACTTATAGGAAGAACAACCAAGACATTCTCAAAGAAAACAAGTGCCAGTAAGGAACCTGGGTGGCTCAGTCAGTTGGGTGTCTGCCTTCAGCTCGGGTCATGATCCCAGAGTTCTGGGATCAAGCCTCACATCAGGCTCCCTGCTCTGTGGAAAGCCTGCCTCTCTCTCTCTCCCTCTGCCCTTGTGCTCTCTCCCTCTCTGTCAGATAAATAAATAAAATCTTGAAAAGAAGAGAAGAGAAAAGAAAACAAGTGTGAGGACCTCCCTCACACAGTGTTCCATAAAGCCTAACAATTAAGCAAGGGCTGACTAATAAGAATGAAGAGAAAGCCCCAAACAGACCTACATCGACATGGACGCCTGACACATGACAGAGCCTACAGCTGAGGGAAAGGACAAGCTTCTCAGCAAAATTCACCAAGATGACCAGAAATCCACATGGGAAAAAACAGAAATGGGCCCCCTACCTTACACCACACACAAGCATATAAAGACCTACACATGCAAGAAAGTCCAAGGCCTTCCCAGGTCAGACAGGAGACCACCCAAGCACTAGGCTTAACGAGAGTGAGGGACCAACAGCACTGAAATCGAGAAGCCAAAAGACTCCACAAAGAACGTTAAGACGCACCTCAGAGCGAAAAGGTATTTTTTTTAATATTTTATTTATTTATTCATGAGGCAGACAGAGAGAGAGAGAGAGAGAGTGAGAGAGAGAGAGAGGCAGAGATGCAGGCAAGGGGAGAAGCAGGCTCCATGCAGGGAGCCCGATGCGGAACTCGATCCTGGAACTCCAGGATCACGCCCTGGGCCGAAGGCAGGTGCTCAACTGCTGAGCCACCCAGGGATCCCCAGAAAGCTTTCTTGATACACAGCCAAAATACACAAAAACTCCTAAAGTCAGTAGGAGAAAGATGACAACAGAAAAATAGAAGACCTGAACAGGTTTTTTTTTTTTTTAAATAAAGAGAATTTGCAATTACCGTGTACCTGTACGCACAACTGCACAGCACATCAGAACATTTAAGAATGTTCATTTCAACATCACTCAGGAGTGGGATGGTATAAACTGTGACACAGACATGTAATGAGATATTTTACAGAAGTGAAAATGAATTAATTATGCATATTCTGAATAACCAGGGTAAATCTGACAAATGTTAACATTGAGGAAAGCAGCAACACACAAAACATAAATGCAATGCATCATTCATATAAACTTCAAAGTGGCAAAACTGAAGCACGATTTCCAGAGATGCACGCATAGGTAGGAAAATCATAAAGAAAAGTGAAGAAGTGCATCTCACCCAGAAACGGAAGAACAGCAGCTGAGACTTGGAGGGACGTAGTAACTGTGCCGTGGGCAAAAGACTCATGGACTCCAAAGGGCTACAATGGTTTATTTCCTGACCTGGACAGAGGCTACATGGGTATAGTTTTTATAAATACTGGTTAAATTATAAATAGACATTTTATGCATTTTATCACCTCATAATTTTTTTAAAAGAAAATCAAATTGAATCAGGTGAGGAAAAAAATCTTCTTCAATAAAACAGCTAAATGGAAAGAGTAATTAGACTGCCCTTCCAAGGCTGTAATGATTATTAACACTGAAAGAGGATTTCTGCAAGTAACTAAACCCTTAAGGTAGCAAGTCACATCCAGCACTCCTAAGACAGCGTGACAAAGCGCCAAATTTAGATTTGTAACACCAAAACAGGAAAGGATTTTATTCTTAAATCCTCTTACATGTTAAACAATTATTTCCATTTCACCCTCTGACCTACCTGGCTTTATAAAGCCCAAATGAAATGCACATGATTCTATCGGGAAAGGAGGAACTCTAAATCTAGGCTTGTAAATTACCTGTCTAGGGATCCTGCAAGCTGAACTCTCACAATCTTTGATCTGTACTATTAATTTGATACACCAATGTAATCTTAAATTTTAATGCCACATTTAAGCTGGAAAGTGAAATGCCACTGGGGGAAAAATTAGATTCAGTGAAAGAACAACTCTAACACATAACTGTTTATTAACAGTACAGAATCAACTATCAACTAATCTATTTAGTAAAAGGTGATATAGTTGTGCAACATTCATCTCTCCAACATATTCTATCTTCCGTGACTCATCTGTGGTATCATACTGAGGAAGATCTCCACCTCCAGAAAAGATGGAATAACTAGTCCCTGACTAGCCCTCCCACCAGACATGACCAGAAAATTGCACAAAACATATAAAACACTTCTTCAGCATCAAACCATACGGTACAGGAATATGGTTGCTGAGAGAAAGAAAGCAAATGAGGTGAGCCCCATAATCACCAAGCTTTCTACGTGGACAGACGGGGCTCCAAGCAGAGCAAAATAGGATCACTGAGCTGAGGAGAGAGATCAGAGTTCATGGAGGCTGAAAGACCTGGGCCAGATGGCCCAGAGTATCAAATGGAAGATAGCTACACGGAGCTCTCCGTGTAGCTATCTACATGGGGTCCAGAAATCTATATGGCATCTCTCATGTCCTTGGCGAAGCACTAGCCTGAGCATGGGTCAGCAAGACCACAGGAGGCCAAGCAAAGAACAGCTACTGGGTGAGGCTGGCAATCCAAGTTCCAACAAGTCAGAATGAAGAGACCTTACTAAACATCCAGAACACTCAGCAGAAAGCCCAAAAAGGCCACACCTGAGGCACAGGGCTAACCTAGACCCAGAGCAAAGGCTTCTCTAGACTAGAGGTCATCCCATTTTTCCTAGAAAGAGCCAGACAGTAAGTATTTTAGTCTTGCAGGCCTAACACCTCAACTACTCAACTCTGATACTGTAGCATGAAAAAAACACAGATGATAAATGCCATGGTGGTATTCCCACAGGCACTATTTATCAAAACAAGTGGGAGGCCAGATGAGGCCTAGGGGCCATAGTTTGCCACCTCCGGATGGGCTAGAAGACAAGCCTTGAGAGAATGAAGTTGATACCAAGTCGATTAACTGCCCGACAGAACAAAATCCAACACTGTTTAAGTGAAGACGATACCAGACCCACACACACAACAATCACAATGTCCAGCATCCAACAGAAAATTACTAGATGTAAGGAAAAGCAGGAAAATGTAATCTGTAAACAGAAGAAAAGCAGTTAACGGAAACAGACCCAAAAATAACAGTGATGATGGAAATAGCAGACAAAAAGAGCATTAAAGTGGTTATAAATTTGGACAAGGATTTAAAGGAAAATGTGAATATAAAGGAGAGAAATATAAACCATGAAAAAGACCCAAATAGAATTTCTAGAAAATAAAAATATAATATCTGAAATGGAAACCACAGCGGATGGGCTTAACAACGTATCACGCACTACAGAAGGGTAGATGACAGAACCTGAAGACATGGCAATAGAAACAATCCAACCAGAAATAGCAGAAAAGGGCATAAGCAGTAAAGAGCCTCAACAGAGCAATGTCAAGTATCTAAAACAAATGCCAAGGTTTGCACAGTGGCAGTATCGTAGCCAATGAGGTTTATCCGAGGTGTGATTACTGCTAATAAAACAAATGTCATCAAAGGGGCACCTGGCTGACTCAGACTCTTGATTTCGGCTCAGGTCATGATCTCAGGGTCATGAGATCCAGCCCTGCATCAGGCACTGCATTCAGCATGGAGTCTGTCTCTCCTTCTCTACCTCCCACTGCCCCTCCCCCCACTCCCGCACATGCATGCTCTCTCTCTCTCAAATAAATAAAAATACTTTTAAAAAGATGTAATACAAAAAAAAAAAAGATGTAATACTGCAAACCTTAAAACCACCACCAAATCTCCATCCACAAAGGCCATATCATAAAAGTAATCTTTTTCTTGATTAACGTTAAAAAAATCATGCAGGATTTAAAAATTAAGCACAGGAAAATAAAATGTTTTATAAATATAATTCTATCAATCCCTACCTCTCATCCTGCCTGTAAGTGTGTACTTTTCCATAAATGTTTTTATATAGATAAACACATATTGTTATATGTACATACAGCTTTTTAAGAGCACAGACAGGATGTCATATAACCTGTTCTATGCCTTGTTTGGAGGTTACTTTAGTTAGTTTTTTTAATTTAATAATATGTCTTAGAAACCTTCCCATGAGAGTACATGTAGAAGGACTTTGCTGTCTTCGCTAGCTGCAAGGAGTCTGGTGTACAATGCACCATAATTCAACCAGTTCTCTGTTGATGGACACGAGGTCGTCTGCAACCACTCAGGAAACACTCAGTGAATGAGTGAGTGCTGCCATGAATATTCTTACAGGAAACAGGAATAATCTTAAAATGGCAGTTTTCTCCATTTGCTTAGATTTATTATTCCTGGATTAGGCTCATAATTCTATAAAGATAATTCCTTATCTTTATCTTATCTATAAAATCAGGCCATTTGTGAAAATATTAACATACTACTTTTGGAACACGTGTCTACATTCAAGCCATCAAATGAGGAATAAAAATAATCTACAGAATGAACCTTAATCTACTCAGCATGAAATTCATCTCCAAGAAAAAAGACATCATCAGAGACAATCTGGTAACTATTTTTCAAATATAGTTATTTAAGTGATTATATATTTAGTTAAGTGAAAACTCTCAGTAATTAAATAAAGCAATAAAATAGATCATAAATTAGGATCCTCTGTCTAAAGTTTCATGTAGTAACCTAAGACACTAACAGAGCACTAGCAAATGTATCATAAAGAAGCATGTCCTGGCAGAGCTTACAGTAAGCAAGGGCAGAGGCAAGGGGCTCACAGCCAACCCCCAGCCAAGGAGGACAGATGAGTGTTAGAGTTGGGGACAGGAGGAGTGGCCAAGGGAATGAAGCGGTCTCCAAGTCCACTCCAAAAAGGCATGCTTTTTTGGCACTGTGGGTTCTGGACAGCATCTGAAGTAGACCTAGCACAGGGAGCCCAAACCACTGAAGGGTCACTGCCTGACACACTGGGGCTGCAGGACCCAGGCAAACCTGACACCAGGGAGAGCCGGTCAGGTACTCAAAACTGAAACTCAGGAGAATATGAAGCAAACCAGAACTCATGGAGGAAACTCAAGCTCTGGACTTAGTAACAGGTGCCTAGCTGTTGTGAGAGCAGGGAGTCGCTGAACAGAAAGAAGCAAGGGCCCAGTGATCAGCACCAGGACACAAAGAACGAACCAAAGTCAAAGAAATATGGCTTCAGATACAGTTCCCAAGTCCAGTGGTCAGTGCCAGGTCTTCAACTTCTGGGTCAGCCCTCACACCCTTCCTCCCAGTGGGGTCCCAGGACAGTTGACTGCTTGGCTCATTTCTTCTGGGACTCAGGACAGCACTAGGCCAATGAGCCCACCTGTGGGAAAGGCAATACAGAGTTAATAGTTGGGGGTGTCACCAGCAGCAGGAAGGGCCTTACAGCAAGCACATGTCCAGAGACGTCCTCCAGTAGCTGCTGGTGAACCCAGCAGTTGGCCTCACAGACCAGATCCTACTGGAATAAAGCATTTTTACCTTCAGAGCATCTTTACTAGCGAGAAGGAAACAGTAATGACCTCTCCTTCCCAGCCTGACCTGGTAGATTCCCAGAAATGTTTTTACGAAAATGCTCATTCTGAACGAAATGAATTTGATGTCAAAAAAATGAGAGAGCTATTACTGAGCACCTAATACCTGCCATGATGGCTTACAAGAATCCACTCATTTTCAGTAGTGTTCACAAACAGTGCTTTATGGGAAGAAAGTCATAAAGCCTAGTTTTTGGTACATCTACAACACTTACCAGAACCTCACACACACACACTTGGGCAGAGCATGGATCTCAGGGATCACTCACACCCTTGGAGGAAAAGGGGCCAGCAAAGGGTTAAAGAAAAAAAAAATAGAAAGAAAGGCAATCTAAGCCTGCCCAGTTTGGAGCTCCTCCTAGGAGGGTGGTCACCTGAACAATTTCTGCCCCTTACCGATGGATGAAAATCGCAGGCACAGCTTGCTGGCTCCACGGGGGGCAATTTTCACTTTTTCCTTTTAAGCAAGCGCACAAAAACGTGATGGAGCTCCTCAGTAACTACGCAACAAAGAGCGTGTGGAGGGAAGGCGTAGGTGCGCAGGTCACTGCCCCTCAGAACAGGAAGACCTGTGACCCACTGGGCACCCGGCCGGGCGTCAGCAGTCCCCAGTATCCCACAAATACTGTCCCAAGTAATCCTCACAACCACACTGTCCAAGGTGGCTTGGGACTCGCTTTACAGATGGAAACACTAGGATGGAGGCCGAGACACACAGCGGAAAGGAACCGCTTGGGCCAAGATCAGTGAGACACGAGGTCCCCTCTCTTGGATAAAAACACGGCTGCCTCTTCAATTTTTGGAAAACGTCTGTTGGGATTTTCTGAGTCTCCGTAAGAAGGGACTTTAAATCAACAAGAGGGGATCCCTGGTGGCTCAGCGGTTTAGCACCTGCCTTCAGCCCAGGGCGCGATCCTGGAGTCCCGGGATCGAGTCCCGCGTCGGGCTCCCTGCGTGGGGCCTGCTTCTCCCTCTGCCTGTGTCTCTGCCTCTGCCTCTCTGTCTTTGTGTGTGTGTGTGTCTCATGAATAAATAAGGAAAAATCCTTAAAAATAATAAAAAATAAAAAACAATAATAAATAAAAATAAACCAACAAGAAATGTCTCCCTAGGCCACACAGAGAACAGGTCAGAAGGAGGCAGGAGCCACTGCTCCTGCGTCGGGTCGGATCAGGGCTCGGGCTGCCGGCGCGGCTCCTTAGCAGCAAAGGCCGTGCCGAAGCTGCCTCCGAGTCGCTCCACCCGGCGGTGAGGCAGACGTCCGCCAGGCGTGCGGTCAGGATGCCAGGCGACCGTGCGCCAGCGGTCTGCAAACTGCCAAGCAAACTGCCAAGCGATGAAGCCCCCTGCGCCCCCCCCCCCCGCGTTGGGCCCAAGCGTGCACCTCACGCCCACCTCTCCCGCCGCACACCCTGCAGGCTCCTCGGCCTTGCACGCCCCGTTTGCCGCTGCCCCAGCGCTGGGCCGCCCGTCTGTCCTCCCAGGCCCCGGCTCCGTGGCCTCCGCCTCTCTCTCCGCTCCCTGACAACCGCTCCTCAGTGCAGCTTCTACCAAGTTCCCTGTTCCACCAAAGCTCCTCAGAAGTCCCCGAGGGCCCTGGCTCCTTCACGCGACAAACACGTACAAAGTCTCTCCCGCGGAGACCCGCGCCCGCCACCCCGGCCGGCCCTCTGCCTGGGCCCTCTCCGTCACCCCGTAGCCCACCGCGGGCGCCCGCACCCAGGAGCCTCAGTGCGCACGTTCCCCGCGCGCCGCCACGTCCGCCACAGGCAAGCGCGGCCCTGAGGGCGCCTCGCGCGCTGAACGAGCGACCCCAGAACCGCAGACGCCGGGGCCCGCGGCCCGCCGCCCGCCGCCCGCCGCCCGGCACGAGGGAGGCCTGAGAGCAGCCTCCGGGCCGCCCGGTCGCGGTCACCGCGCCGTTTCCTGAGCCGTGTGCCAGGCACGTGGGTGTTCACGCGTTGACGATTCACGGAGCGCTGAAGCAGCGAACTTTCCAGTTGGGCTTTGCTGAGATCCACTAAAAAGGAACTTGAAAGTGGAGTCCCACTTAAGTGACCCTAGGCGACTATGTTCTGGAAGGACACCGAGCACGGGACGCAGAAGAAAGCGGAGGCGCCACGCTCACAAAGGGCGGGGGCGAGGCAGGGCCAGGCGCAGAGCCGCTCCCGACCCCGCGCGGCCGTGACCCAGCCCACGCCGAGCCTCCTGCCCTCTGTCCCTGCACCAACTGCTTCCCAGGTTGTGGGGACCCCTGAGAGTGCACCATGACCGCCTGTCGCCCAGACCGAAGCTCGGTTCCCATGGGGGTTTCCCAGTGCAAACTGTCGCAGGAAACCAGACGGTCCAGCTCATCTCCTCATGCCCGCTGGCCTCAGGACGTGGCTGCCCCGGGCCCAGCCATCCAACCCTGGCCCACCAAGGGCTGTCCCTTCAGGAGGAGCCAGGATTAAAACGGGAAGAAGTTTCGCTGGAAGGGTCAGGACTGGCAGACACCAAGCGTGGCACTTAAGAAATGTCATGGGTCAACTGCTTCCCAAAAAAGACGTTCTCCCGTTCTCCTCCTTGGCGTCTGTGAAGCCACAGGATTCCCTTCTCCTCAACTCTGACCAAGCTCCCAGATGGACAGCCTCTATCTTCATCCTGCAAGATCTCCTACCATCTGGCATCACCCCTATGGAGTCAAACTTGACTCGTGTCTTCAAGTTTCAGGGTACCTCAAACTCAACCTGTCTACACCCAAGGTCATTACGTCTCCTCCGGAAGCACGCCTTTCTCTGAGTCCACTTGATGTCACTGATCTCTTGGTTCCAGATTTAGGCACAACAAAAAACTTTAAAAATAAGACAGTAAGACTTGAAGACATCACCATAAATGCATGTTTCACTTAATACAGAGATGGTTACACCTGATGGAACTATTTCTAGATGTACATAAATGGGGGATGGGGGGAGAACAAGTAGAGACAACTAACACGACCTCGGCCAGGTGATCAAGGTCACATCCACAGTGACAAGTCAGGCTCAGAGCACCGACCCTCGATATGAC